GTGCTACTTTTGAAGTGGGGAAGGAGACTGCTCCTTTTGGCATGCAGAGAAGGGCTACTTCCCCAGTGATCTTCAGGAAAGGCAAAGACACAGAAACTGGGTTAGCCCAAATAAAAGATGTACTGACTCAATGTAGATATGCTCTGAAAATAAATGAGGGCAAGCCTGGAAACGAGCTCTAGATGGGCACAATTTAGCAAGAGGCCATGAAGTATCTCTGTTTCCCAGGGTCAGGATCTGACACCAGCCAAGCAGGAAGGATGGGAAGAGCTTTATCCCCAGGTTTAGTCCCTCTCAGCAGAGCCTCCCGGGTCATGAGTATCCCTGCATTCCTGTTCCCCCAAGCCCAAGTGGTGGCCCTGGAGCCATACCATGGGCGCAGACCACAGGACTGCCTCTGCTGGCTTTGGGCAGCTCCTGAACCCTGCCTGAAGCTGGGTCTTTCTTACCTTCACACAGCTATGCTTTCTCCCAGGCCTGTGGGCTTTCCTCCCTGTCCTTTGCATCCTTTGTTTGACTTTACCAGCCAACGCTGCAATTTTTTCCCCTACCCAGGGGTGACCTCATGCTCAGAAAGGCATTTAGCAGAAACCTGGTGAAGGTTTGTTAGGACTCAGAGGGCCTGAAATGGTGATTTTGCCCTTGCTTGTCTGTTACTGATGGGAAAGACGGGAACTGAACCTGAGCCTTTGCAATCTGTAGTTTTAGTAATTAGTAAATTTAGTAATTTAGTGCAGTGACTACAGCTCCACACTGGGTCAGTTCTCTACAAGCGGGAGCATGGTTAGAGGCACAGGGCCATCCAAAAGAGAAGGTGTAGTTCTTGTGAGGGCTTTCCACAATAAAGAAGAGAATAAAGGCTGTGAAACTGGTTGCCCCATGGCCCACTTTTCAATTCAAATGCTTTTCTTCCTCTTTGTGGCTCTGAAGTAATAGCTTACAACATGCTTTAATGGTAGCTGTTATAACATGAGAAGGTGGGAGGAAGTGACTCTCTTCAGGCCCCCAAAGCACGCTGGAGTATTCAGTGCTGTACAAAGACAGTGACATTTTAAAACCTCTGGACCTTTGGCCACAGTGCATCACTGGCATTTGTCAGGGTAAGGTCACGCAACTCGGGAGATCTGAGTGTCCACAGCCCCCATCAGTCTGCCTCGCAGCCCCGCCATAAACTGGCTCTGTTTCCCCCCTGTAGCAGTGGTGGAGATTTCCAGGCATGTTCCTCTGAGCCCTAGGAGCAAAGCTTGGCTGAGGATCCTGAAGAAGGCAGTGTTTAGGATCTGGCCAGATGTATGGGGAAAAGGAAACAAAGCGCGGCAGGAAGGTGGCAGAGTTGCTCTGACTAACCAGGGGGTCACAGGCTTTCGCACCCTCCAACACGGAAACACACTTATTTAATGGGAAGGAAAAGAAGCGTGGCCAGCAGGTCGAGGGAGGGGATTCTGCCCCTCTGCTCTGCTCTGGTGAGACCCCACCTGGAGTACTGCGCCCAGCTCTGGAGCCCTCAGCACAAGAAAGACGTGGACCTGTTGGAGCGGGTCCAGAGGAGGGCCATGAAAATGATCAGAGGGATGAAACAGCTCTCCTGTGAGGAAAGGCTGAGAGAGTTGGGGTTGTTCAGCCTGGAGAAGAGAAGGCT